AGTGTGTGGCCATCCGGACTTGTGTGTGTATCATAAATGCTATCTCAACTGTGTTGTCTGATTGGTAGGGGCAACAGTTACATCTGGTGATGATCTTGTGACTGGAGTAAAGGAAAGCACTTGGAAATGTGAGTATCGAGGAAATAAACTTGATATACTCGGTTCACAAGTGGGATTCCATGAAGACAGCCAGCGTTGCTGCCATATTCCCCAAGGATTCCACTTTCTAATAAAACGTCCATTTTTGTCTAACTTGGAGTTAAAGAATCTGGTCCTGCTGCCCCAGGCACGAACCCTTTACTAGGGGGTCACATGAGCTCAAATCGTGCCCCCTCTTAGAGGCTTTTTAGAACTCCCAGGGTGTTCCTACCGGCCTTCCCTGTATGTGGATGCAAGTCTGTTTAACCATTCTGCGTGTAGAGAACTTTTATTTCTTAGGCACCGTGCCAGGCCTTAGAGATACAGAATTGTAAAACAAAAAGATCCCATAATCTAGCATTTTCAGGTTCCTCTGAATTCATTGGTATGTGCCCCCGCGACTTCACCTCCTCCACCTAGAGGACCAGAGGCAGGAAAAGGGATTCTTATAGGTACGCCCAAGGTCTACACGAAGGCTGGATGGGATCCTCGCAGTCCCCCTCCTCCTGCTCCTTCCACCACCTGGATGTAGCAACTGCCCGACGCCCAGTTGCTGACCTCATACTGTGCTTTCTGATGTGGCACATCCACATCAGTTTTCAAGCCCCACGAGGGGGAAAGGTCAGTTGTCCGCCCTCCCTCCATCTCAGTGAGTCAAGGTTTGATGCAGCCACACTAGTCACGAGCGTCTGTTTGTTTTTTTGACAGCTCCTTTGACTCACGGGCCATTCTTGGCATTCCTTTGCGCTCTGAACGATGACTGTTTCTCTCGCTGTGGCTTGGGTGTAGTTTGCAAGCCCGATTTAATAATTTCCGACATCGCTGAGTGCAAGGTTCCATTCCAGTTGCTTTGATTCAGGAGCTCCTCCCTCCGCCCTCTTCCCTTGAGCATATATGGTGCCGACGCGGAGGGCATCTCACTCGCAGAGTAGGTGGCAAGACCTCGAGAAATACGGATAGATACGGCTTCATACTGCGGCTCTTGAGAATCGGCGGTGATGGTGGTGGTGGTGGTCGGGGGGGAACTGTCACTTTAAGAGAACTCCGTTCTAGCCGAGCGTGGGCCCGAAGCCGCCCGCAAGTGTCGCGAGGATTGTGATTGCAAACCTCGCGATGTTTGGCCCGGCGAAAGGTGGCCATTTTGGAGTCCGTCCGGCGGCTGGTTGCCCCGGCGGCGACTCCCAACTAGCTTCCGGGACCAAAGGTGGCCCCGCAGGTGCCGGGCCTATGGGCGGCCGGGCAGACACGATGTGGCGGCTCCGCTGCAAGGCCAAGGATGGCACTCATGTCTTGCAGGGGTTGTCCAGCCGGACCCGCGTGCGCGAGCTCCAGGGCCAAATAGCCGCCATCACCGGGATCGCCCCCGGTGGACAGCGGATCCTCGTCGGCTACCCTCCGGAGTGCCTGGACCTTAGCAACGGGGATACCGTTCTAGAAGACCTGCCCATCCAATCAGGTGAGGGGTCGGGGCGAGGGCCCGGGCGGCCTTGGGAGGCGGCGGCGGCCGCGAGGACGGAGAAAGAGCTCCCGGCAGGTGACTGGCTCACCTGGGGGCATGGAGGGCCCGCGGAGAATCGAGCGGAGAGCAGACGTGCCAGCTGAGGCCGGGGCTGGTGTTTAGCGAGCCCTCGTCTTCACAAATGGTTCAAAGGGACCGGGAGGGCACAGCCCCTGGCAGAAGCCCAGAGCCGTCGGGTCCCCTGCCCACCCCGTTCTGCTTTGGGCCCACCTTGATCATCTCGCCTTCCTGTTGTTTCCCTCGGCGTTGACAACACTAGAGAAGTCGGAGCGCACCGGGGTCCTGCCCCGTCTTAGGCCCGTAGGTCAGCAGGGCGCAGTCCGTGTACCTTGCTTTCCTGGCTGGTTTTTGCAATTACCTTCACATAACGCTTAGTTGTGTAGGTGTGTGCACGTTTAGAGTTAGCTTTTAAATATCCAGTAAAGGACCTTTCAAGTTCAAGCCAGCATTCAAACCTGATTAGCAAGTTTGGGAAGGACACGCTTTTAGCTGTCAAAGCCAAAGACGTGGTAAACACCGGAGTTGGCGTGTTTACATTTTTTAAAGGCCGAGAACCCCCTGGTGGCCTGTTCTAAGCTGAACACTTTCTGGCAGGTTTGGGCTTTTTTAGAGGCAGGCCTTGTGGTTTTGAAATGTATCGCTTGCTGTGTAAACAAACACACCCTGAAACTGCCATTGAGTCGGTTTCAACTCATAGTGACCCTATTGGTCAGGGTAGAACTGCCCCTGTAACTCTAGGGGACTACAAAGCCGCATCTTCCTCCTGAGGAATGATGGTGGCGGCTTTGGACTACCAATCCTGCAATTAACTGCCTAGCCCACTACAGGGCTCCGCAGGATGTGTAAGGATGTATATCATTCGGTGCCTTCACCAAATTGGAAGCAACTGGAAGTGATTTGCTATGTGCTTTATTTTCGCGGTTATGAAATTCCAGAGAATCACCACAACGAAAAGTGTCCCTTAAACAGCTGTATTCACCTTCGCAACCTCAGCGGATGCGTTCATTCCTTCTGTTTGTAATTTATAGACTTGTAGGAATTCCATGTGCATTTTCTCTGCACTTAAGGATGTCTTTTTTTTTTAAACAGGAGACATGCTGATCGTTGAAGAAGACCAAAGTAGGCACACATCTTCACCTGCATTTGCAAAACCCGGTGCTCCCAGTTATTACAGGGAAATGTTGCCCGTACTCACCAGAACTGCAGTCCCCGCAGACAACTCTTGCCTCTTTACCAGTGTGTATTATGTCGTTGAAGGAGGAGTCTTGAATCCAGCCTGCGCCCCTGAGATGAGACGCTTCATAGCACAGATTGTAGCCAGTGACCCCGAGTTCTATAGTGAGGCGATACTGGGAAAGACAAACGAAGAGTACTGTGACTGGATCCAAAGGGATGATACTTGGGGAGGAGCTATCGAGATATCAATTTTGTCCAAGTATTATCAATGTGAGATCTGTGTCGTGGACACACAGACCGTAAGAATCGATCGTTTCGGGGAAGATGCGGGATATACCAAAAGGGTCCTGCTGATTTATGACGGCATCCACTATGATCCTCTGCAGCGGAACTTCCCTGACCCGGACACCCCCCCGCTGACCATTTTCTCTTCCAATGATGATGTTGTTCTCGTTCAAGCACTGGAATTGGCAGAGGAGGCCAGGAAAAAGAGACTGTTTACTGATGTGAACCGCTTCACCCTGAGATGTATGGTGTGCCAGAAGGGATTGACTGGGCAAGCAGAAGCAAGGGACCACGCCAAGGAAACGGGCCATACCAACTTTGGAGAAGTGTGACCGATGCTTGACAAGGGTTGAAGCCTACTACCTCACCGATCCAGAAGGTTCTGGATATTCCAATAAGCTAAGCATAACCCTAAAGAACAAAAGGACACCATGCTTGAAACCACCATTTTAACTTAAAACCACCAAGGCACTGAAATTCCTTGTTAAGATTAAACTTAGTGTGCAAGTTTACAGATGTGTGTCTACAGTGGTGATACCCTCGTCCTGCTGCCGTGAGAGAATGGGTGGGGCTTGCCCCCGACCAGCACTACCCTGAAGATGGAAGTTTAGTATTAGAGACGAGCCCCCCAGCAGCATTAACTTGTAGAAGACAATGACACCACCTGCTGGGTAATGCAGCAGGCTTCATGCGAGGCCACTGGACTTGGACCACGGTGTCGCCAATAAGTGAATCCTTTTAATAACTGAGTTAATCGTTTCTAAATTATGAATTGATTGCTCAAACGAAGATAACTCAGAGTTGGCCAAGCTGATTTTATATTACAATTTGGTAGACTTTATAAATGTGTAATTTCCCTATCCCAAGTACCTATCAAGCAATTTTTACTGAGGTGGGTCTATTTCTTAAGAATATTACCTAAAAACAGGAACTGAGAGTACCCTGTTTAGGATTTCTCATGTGTAAAAGTCGAATGTATGAGGAAAAGGTGCCTGAAGCAGTTGGCAGAAGCTTTAAAAGAGCGTTGGCCTCGTGTTAATGCGCCTCGAGGTTTGGTCTTCGTTACACTGGATAACATTTGACAGTTAAGCAGGGTACCTCTTCTTCCAAAGCCTGGGGTTAAAAAAAGGATGCATATCTAAATTAATAATGCTGTGATTTCATGTTTGTATTTGAGAATGTCTTGCTTACCTAAGCAGTATTTGTTTCCTGTTAGCCTGACCCTTCCATGAATGGTCTTGAGTGGCTTCACATTTCTGCACGTTGGCTTAGCAGGGGTCTCGTACTTTGCCTTTGGGAGAGTTTCAAGTCATTGGGATGATCATGTTGAATGAATTCCTTTTGCTTCCAGTCCATGGAAGTTTGAAAATCCTCGCCTTACTCTGCTTTCTCAGAATCCTGCTGCTGCTTAGTATTATGTGTGCTGCCCTCTGCTTGCTGGGCTGGTCCGCAGGGTGGTCCCCCTCTGCCACCGAGCTTCCCCTCGAGCTTCCAGATCGTTTCTACCTCTTTTCCTAGTGCTTTGTAAGATCAGGGATGCTAAATTAAAACTTCTGCGTACTTCTCGTCTAATGTGAAGAGGGTTAATGTGAAATTTTGTTAGCTTGGTCTTGGTTGGGTTTTTTGGTTTGGTTTGGTTTTGGTTTAAGTATCTCCCTTGGAAAACTCGTGGTATACTTTAAAGCACTTATCTCTTTCAGCATATCTTCTGGGCAGATTACGCTCTTTCATTTGGTGAAGGTGGCCATGTGAAATTAAGTAACCTGTACACCATTTGAGGGGAAAGGACCTTTAAGGAGCCATTCACTAAGTATGCTTGAAGCCACCAGATGACATTCCTTGAGTACCTGTCTACCTGGGTTAGGCATATCTTAAGTTACGATGGCCTGGGTAACTTAAAATGTTCCCTTTTCAGTTTTACTGAGCCTTAAAAACCCTTGAGCTTAAAACGCGTACTGTTTGGCAATCATAGGAGGAGGGTTCAAAAAGTACGGGGGAAAATAGAATTAAAAAAAAAAGGAATTTTCCCACAAATTTCTTGAAGCTCCCCTTGGACAAATGATTATGATTGAAAGTCCCTTCACACCTGTCTGTCATCTGGTCTAGATAATTTGTGCATCTTTTATTTCTTGTAGAAAAGTATTTAAAACTATAAATTTATGACTGTATCACTCGATAGCAGTCATCAAATTAAGCTTTATGCATCATTCAGAAAACTTGCCTTCCTTTCTTAGTACTTCAGGAGCCAAAGTTGGCATTTGCTTACTGAAATTTTAGATCTAAAAGTTTACTCATGCAACAAATATTTGTTGAGTAATTTATAATATGCCAGGTACTTATGTGTTGGTGTGTTTCCTAACATCCATCTCTGTCACTTTAATATTGACTCTGTTTTATTTATAGTGTTTTAATTTAGCCAATGGAAAGAAATAGGATACTGATGTTTTACACAATTAAACCTTTCCATTTGAAGTGGGGTTTTTTGGTTTGTTTACATATTTAAGCTCAATACTTTGGTCACAAGTGTCAAATATTTATTCACAGGATTTTATTTTACTGGGTTTTACTTGTTTTATAGCTTTTCTGTTCCCAAATTGGACACTGATTGATACTCGGGCTAATTGGTGTCAATAAAGACTTTACTAAGTTATCATCTCCTGAAATTTAGCACTGGCAGTTTGGTGTTCTTATCATGGACTATTCAAAATGAAACACTGTTCATAGACCAGTGGATTTAGTTATTGAGAATTAACATAAATGCTCATTCTAAATTCAAGCTGGTGCACCTCATATAAAGAATTCTTTTTTACTCTGCTTATTAGACTTGTCTGGAAATTAATTAATTAGGAGTGATGCTAACGCAGAGAAATTTTGAACATCTCTCTGGATTGAGTACTCGCTGCAGGATGAAAAGGAACTGTCTCAGATTTGCTCTTGCACAGAACGAGACCTTTCTTCCCTGTCAGTGGATCTTTGACAACCGTCCACAGATCTTCTTTCAGTTCATAGGAACCGTTTACAGCAATGACAATGAGTGAAGACTGCCTTTCCAGCTCCCTTTTGCTTGATCGCTTTGGATCTGTAGATTAAGGGCCTGCCAGGTTTTTGATGCCTCATCAGTCTGTTTTGTCTTCCCTTCCTGGTCAGGGCTGGTGTCTCAATGACTTCTGTGAGTGAGAGCCGGGCAGCTCAGGCGGTGGTCGCCCTGAGAGGGTGGCTGCTGGTCCACGTGAGCGTGTTGATGAGAGCAGCTGCGGTCCTGCCACATGACCGTTCCCTGGCGTCTCAGCAGAACCTTCGTCAGGAATGGATAGCTTTGCATTCCCTTCCTCAGCATTGCCCCCAAGGGCCCATCCCTAACTGCTTGCTTAGCTAGCTTTTTTCTTCTTTCCTTTGTAGGGATTAAAACATGGTTAGAATAAGTTCTTCTCGCAAATATAGTTTTCTGTGTCTTTTTTGAAGAAGAAAACCATCTGAATGAGGTGTATGTAATATTAAGTAACAGTGTTTTTTCCCCTTACAAATCAGGTGGCCTTCCTAAACTTTTCCTGTATAATTAAAATAATCATGTTCTTTCATAGATTGAGACACACATTTGTTATTATTTGCAGCACTTTAAAAAAAAAAACAAGAACTAAAAGTTTACGTGCTTGCCTTCTCCAGGGATTTCACTGAGGACATTGAAATAAAACTGGCGCGCTGCTGCAAATTAAGCACTTCATCCTCGGTTGCCATCGGTGTACATTGTTCCCAGTGGCGCAGCACTCTGCTACCCTGATGATTCCCATTTCAGTAATTGTAGGAGCATGCTCTGCCCTAGCATTCAAAATGTTACTATAATATGATTGTCTTCCTTCAGGGTACAATACAGAATTCGAATTTGTTTTCGTAGCACAAATACAACCCTAACAACTTCTAGAAGAGTAAATTCTTCACATGGCATTTGCTTCGAAGCAAGCTTACATTAAGGGAACCATATTTTTAATCTGAGGCCTTGAAGGTGACAGGTAGAGGTGACATCATTTGTTGATTTGAGAATAAGCTAGTTTATTACCTGTAAGAAAGCCTTCATATTACCATAAGTAATTCACACTTCATCCAGTTCACAAGGAATGTAAAACTTCTCAGAAGTGTTCAATTTTTTCTCTTCTCCAAAAATTAGCTAAGATTTTGGTTACAGTGTTTTGAACATTTGATTTAGGAAAAAAGATACAACAGTTGTAAGTAAATATTTAGTGTGCTGAATTGAGTCTGAATTCCAAGTCTTTAGAGGAGGTTGGAGAACCCTCCCAGGGTATACTTGGGGCAGAGGGCTGGAAGTGCAGGAGGGTGAAGTACCACGGAAGGGAAATTGGTCATGAATTAAGTTTCTGAGGAAAAATCTCAAGCAATGCCTATGTGTCACCTCAACCTTCTCCCCATTTCTTGGCCAAAATGTAGCAGGGCCATTAAGTGAAAAA